CTGGGGCCCCCTACCAGAGCACACCTGAAATGTAACCCTTGAAGTTCCTTTAAAAGTCCCTTCTCTCCTGATCTAGAGTCACAGCCTTTGGGATGGGAGTCCCCTGTGTTTCTTCTTTGCTAGCAAAGCAATAAAACTTTTTTTTTTCCTTTTTCTCAAAATCATGTTCTCATCATTAAATTGGCATTGATTGGCATTAGGGATAGGGATAGAGCTTTTGATTACACTCTCTTATTTCCATAACTGTTTCTCATTCTGCATCTGTGGACTCCTAACCTCTTTAATAGACCCCTAACAGTAAATATTTGAGAATGTATCTCCATATGTATTATAYATCATATACCCAAACTATTAACAATTTTAGCGTTTAATAAGTTTAATTTTATTCACATACATTAATTTGTTAATTTATTTTATTCACATTTTAGATGTTGTCCTGAGCCACAGTACAGCCACCAACAATACAAAGGTTCAAGAAACTCAGATCTAAAGGAGAGAGGCCAGTGCCATCTAGTGAACCCAATGTGGAACTGCATACTTGCTGGCTGACTAGGCTCTGCCAAATTCCCAGCTCCTTAACCTGCGCTTACTTGTTGGAGCCCAACTCTCTGTCATCTTTCAGCGCCTCTTTCTTTGTCAAAAATATCTTTTAGCCACTGTATTTCCACTGTCATTGTAATCCCCTGGAATTAGGTTGCATACATATAAGTGAGGGGAGAAAATTCCACATGATCCTGATTCTGTTTGCATTCACTTAAGCACATGGAAACAAATACAGGAATAAAATTCAGAAAAGAATCACTCATTTAGCTATAAGAAATATATGTGTTTGTTTCCTGGGTCATTAATAGTCTTCTCCATTGCAGTTATACTCCAAGGGGGCAGAAATCCTGTCTGTATTCCAAATGCCTGAAGCAAGACCTGCATTTGATAAGTATGGCAAGCATTTGATAAATTTTGTTTGATCCATGAAGTCACTGGTTATTTGAGATGGAGTGATTCATACTGGTCTTTATTTTCTCAAGAACATTTATATTTTGCAAATGCTCAGTGATCAGCATGAATTATAATTAAAAATAAGAAATAAATGTTACAATTGGTTAACTTGGCTTTACAACCATAAAAAGGTTCTTTCATAACAAACACAATGATGACAAAGATCTTAAAGAGCCTTCTAATCATTCAGTCGCTCAAAGGATAGCACATTTGGGGTTAGGAATGTGCTGTTTCYGATATCCCTGTAACACTGGCTGGTACACTCTCAAGTTTTTTCCTCATTCTCATCTATGTGGTAAAGATTAGAATGCTGAGATCAGTCATCAAACAATAATAACTTCAAGTGGAGAAGTGCTAAGCAGAAAGGAAATGCCAAAACTCAAGAACATTTACATGCTCATAATAGTGGGGTAAGATTAAGTAAATTTATAATGAAAAATAAATAAATAAATAAAGTAAATAGACACAAACCTCATAGCCAGCCACTGTGGATCCATCATAAGATGAACTTTGTCAATTCTGATATTTTTGGCATAGTGTAGTCGTTTGGGCAAATCAGGAGTCAAATAGGGTTTAAAATGCTGATCGGGTTTTTGGCACTGAAAAAAGGGTAAATATTTATCCAATGAAAAAATATGCAAAATAAGTAAAAAATTTTCTAATGAGGCACTTTTTAAAAGTAGGGAGATTTAAGTTCAAGCTAATAAAATAGGAAAAGTAAATCTAAGGGGCTGGGGATGTGGCTCAAGTGGGAGTGCTCTCGCCTGGCATACGAAGGGCGCTGGGTTCAATCCTCAGCACCACATAAAAATAAAATAAAGATGTTGTGTCCACCAAAAACTAAAAAATAAATATTAAAAAATTCTCTCTCTCCTAAAAAAAAGTAAATCTTAAATCAACATAATCAAACACTAAATAAATGTTAATTGTTGCAACAATAATTAGGTTGAAATTTAAAATTTGATTTAAATTAGGAGCAGATATTTGATGTTTTATGGTTTTATTCCTGGGTATATATATTAAGCCACCATAAATCCCCCCTCTTGTTTTGACAGAAAACAGATATGTCTCAATTTTGAGTGGCAATTACATTTTTAAATTATATATAAATAATATATGAGATATTGGTAGATATGAAAACACAACTTAAAAATCAGCTTAGTTGCACTAATAATCCCTTCCCAGCACAGCTTTTAAATAAACATTTGCTTGGTTTTCAAATCAATTCAACAGCTTTTGAAACCAAGTATAGTATTCCTATTTGTGAAACAAATTTATGGATTCATCTCAAATTAGAGTAAAATTTTATAAAATGTTATTTCTCTAATAATTGCTACTGTAACTTTATGGCATATTTAAAAAGTATAAAATGCAAATTACTTGGTACCTATTAATGAAAAGAAAAATGAAGAAGTAGGAAACAATTATGAAGAAACTTTCTCACATGACCTCCTTGAGAAACAAGAGAAAAAACGTTAAACATAAAAAGTAAGACCATGAGGAAATGAAAGTTCTTCTATTTCCTCATTTTCTCATATATTTTAAACCATAATATCTCATCTATATTATTAGCAAGTCTGTGTCACCAATAATCTCACATTCAACTTATAGAAGAAAAATGAGAAGCTATGAAATACAACTTCATAAAACAAAATTTAAGAGAAATACAGAAAATGGGAGTGTACAGAGATTACGGAATGAAAAAAGAAAAATAAAAGTATTTATTGTACATCTATCAAACTTTTTTCTTATCTATTTTGGTATCTTTTTCAGGCTTCTTATTTTCTATTTTTCAACTGTCATTACTTCCTTCTTAAGACAACATTTTTGTGATTTCCAGGCAGGTTCATGATGGCAGCTGCGGAGTRTGCAGCTTCCTCACAAATGTAAAGGGATAATATGTGCTCCAGAGGACAACAGACAATAATTAGTCACACTCCCTTTCCTGGTGTATAGCTAGAATAGACCCACAGAAACTTGGGGGGCACAATGCCAACTTCTGAAGAAGTATAGAGTTATTATTTACATTTGAGAACTTGGGATGAAGACACCAGAGTTGAGCTAAAATTTGGTCACTTTAAGAACAAAGTCAGTGCTGATGTCTCTCATGTAGCCAGATGGTTGTGGAACTTAAATAGTTGCCAGTTCATGTCTAGTTATCTTTATCCAATAAAAGGTCAATGTAGACCCATAGAATGGCACTACCACATGAGACATAAAATGGTAGCTCATTTCCTTGGGGGCTCTGTAGATCCAGACTCAGCTTATAACTGTGAAGCCATGTAAGGGAATTTYCAAAATCTGTGGTGCTYGATCCCCTTGCACCACTAGGATTATTAGAGATTTGACCTTCTTCACCAACACAACTTCATCTATATCTAGATCACAAAGTGAGGTAACAAAAATAAAACAGTATGTGGATTGAGAGAGTCCACATGTTGAAAATCTTGAAGTACCCCTCCACTCAGCATAAATAAACKTGTAGTCCTGGGTGGTAGGTAAATGAGTAGGGAAAATTCCAGATAGCTTAAAAATTCCACTTGTCAAAGTGGCGTGCACTAATTCTGGAGAAACCTGGTAGATTTTTTGTTGGTTGGTGGGAGGTGGGGTTGGCTCAGGAGATTAAATTCAGCATGTTCTACTCTTCACCAGTAGGGGGCAAGATTGTCTATCAGGTTTACTTAAGATCAAAGGATTAGTGTAAGAGGAAAAAAAGAGTGATTAACACTCTATAGGATTTCTGCTCCAGTCACTCCTGCTTGGACCTTGCAGTGAGTCCCAAATTACATTAACAATTCTTTACCCCATGTTTTATCTTTAGGCACTTGCACTCCATCCTCACCATTTTTAATATAACTGCTGKGCATTTATACTTAAATAAATTTAATCTCATGCCAAGCAATAATAAATTCATAAATTCTACATCATAGATATATATTTGTGAATATATTTTAAGTATAGAACTGTTAAAAACTACCATACAAAGGGCCTGGATGTCTAGGGCCTGGATGTCTAGCTCAGTGGTACAGCACATGAAGCCCTTAGTTCAACTTCCCACACCATGAAAAAACAAACAAAATTTCCGTGAGTCTAAGACCCACTATTTTAGATATTCAGTTGCACAAAAACTAAGAGAAATGGTGTGACCTAAAGCTCACTAGCATACCCTTTTTTAAAAATTTAATTTTTTAATTTATTCTAATTAGTTATACWTGACAGCAGAAGGTATTTTGACACATTGTACACAAATGAAGCACAACTTCTCCTTCCTCTGGCTGTTACATGGTGCAGAGTCACACCAATAGTGTAATCATACATGTATATAGGGTAATAATGTCTGTCTCATCCTATGCTTTTTCCCATCCCCATAGCCTCACCCCTCCCCTCACTTCCCTCCACAAAATCCAAAGTTCTGTCATTCTTCCCTAACACTCCCACCACACACACATACTATGGATCAGCATCTGCTTATCAGAGAAAACAATCAGCCTGGGCTGGGGTTGTGGCTCAGCAGTAGAGCCTTGCATGCGTGAGGCCCTGGGTTCCATCCTCATAAAAATAAATAAATAAAGTAAAGGTACTGTGTACAACTAAAAACTAAATATCAAAAAAGAAAGAAGAAAGAAAGAAAGAAAGAAAGAAAGAAAGAAAGAAAGAAAGAAAGCCTTTTTGAAAAGGACATCATCCCTTTCAATGAAAACTAGGAGTCAGGGTCCATGTTTCCCCAAACTAATTTCCTATATTGGTGTCAACTAGAAAATAAAAACTAAGATGAATATGCATGTTGATGAAGAATAAAAAATAAACTACAAGTAGCTTAGTGTCAGAAATACATGATATAAATTTCTCAGAACCCAGACTAAGGTCATCACCATTAACTTAGATATATTAAGGAGACTATATACTTACACTGAGTTTCKTAACAATTTCTTCAGAATTAACTGTTTCAAAAGAAAAGAATTACATTACAATTGATACTRGACAACAGCAAAAATTGTAAAGAACTAGGTGACTCTGACACATATTTATTGATAACTATGATATGGCAAAATTAAATAAAAGATGATTTCAAATGAAGAATTATTTTAGCACTTAAGAATAGAGTAGGATATATTTTAACTCAGCAATATTAGATATTACCATAGACTCTTCAGATTGACTCTRCTTAATCATGGGAATCTCTCATTGGCTTCTATGTGATCTTYCCAAAAAGGAAAGGACTTTATGAGAAAGTCCCCACATGTTCTCAGAACCTTGGTTATGGTTACTCACTTTCAGTTTTACCCCTTTTTCCCCTTTCATAGGAGTATCTTCATACTTACAAGTAAAAAAGTCCTCGGGTACATTTCTAGTCCTGATGCGAGGAGCAGGCCCTTCATACATATAGAAGTTTATTTGAGGAAAATAATCAGTCATATATTCCACCTTGTCACAAGCAGTCTGATCCATTCCTAAATTCAAAAAATAAAGAAAAGAAAATCCACTGAGTGTATAAACGACAATTACATGTCTTTATAATATCTGATTTGTTTGTTAAGACAAATGATACATTTTTAAATTAAAATAGCAATGTGTACTTTTATTAAATAATGCATTAGGAATGTAGGAATTTATAAGTCTTTTTTTCAAAGGTATTAATTAAATTTAAATCAGCAGCATGTGCTCCAAAAGGATTTGGCAGTCAAATCTTTTTTTTTTTAAGGAGCATATTCATGTATTATTATTATTATTATCATTAATTGTTTTTATTGACAGAGTGTTCAGACTGCAAGTAAACTTCTACTTTTAACAAAATGGATCCCCTGATTTTAAAACAATAAAGTATTAGGGGATCGTTCTGGAAATTTAAAAAACACAGTACTGTGTTTCAGAGTTCTGCAAACCACTCCCACACCCCACCCTGTTCTTTTCACTGTGTTRTAGTTTCTCTTTGAATGTCTTTCTCAAGAAAAGAGCTGACCACCTTAGCTAGAAAAGGGTCCCATCTGCTTCATGAACTTATGAACACCACCAGTATAGTAGAGTACCAGGGATTGCATAGTACTTAAATATTAAATATAAATATCAAATATTTGTGGAATGAATGAGTACTTTACAACCATGCGAATGCATTCTATGTGCAGGACAGGGAGTAGCTGYTATTTTACTTCCTTTAAAGATCAGGTTTACCAAACTCAAGAATTAACCTCGAGCAGAGAAATGTGAGGGGACAGGACTTTACAGACAAAATGCTAAGTTAAACATACAAATTAAAGAAGAAAGAGTGGCAGAACTTGCCAATATAATAAATTGCAGCCAACCTACATGGAATTACTAGCTGAAAAAGGCTGCAAAAAATTATTTTCAGATTGAATAACAACCCAACCACATCCCTATTAAGTACTTTCAATTCCATTTTACAGAAAAAAAAAGTAAGTGGAAAGATTTTGAGTAATGTTAAATAAATAAATTAGAAATTTTAATTGAGTCCTCTTTTCTTCATAATCTACCAGAAAATTCATTCTTTTCTTCTTCAAGAGCTTCTAGGTGTAGAAATGCAGATTTTAAATTATCATTATTTTTTGTACGATCCCTAAAATGACAAACTATAATCAATGTTGAAATATGATTTAAAAAAGAAGCATACCATGGTCAGCCAAAATGATTATGTTCACACAATTGTGTAAATTCCGCTGTTTTARGCCCTCCATCAACAATCCAAAGGTACTATCCACTAACTGTAAGGCTTTAAGTAACTAAAAATAAACAAACAAACAAAAAACAGAATTAAGATAGTCTTCGTGAATTGTTTTAATTACCCAAATAATTATTTAATCAAGTAAAAATTAAATGCATTCTTTTTCTCTAAAATGGTGGGTTTTTGAAATAGAACTTCAGAGGCCAGCACCCATGCTACCACATTTACCAAATACCAATTCCCTAAATATCTATAAACAAAGGATTGAGCTGTATTTCCTATAAAGGAAAATGCTATACAAGCCAATAAATACATGAAGCAATGTTGAATGTCAAATAAACACTTTCAACTGTCAATGTTTTCATAAGAATTGCTAATAGTAGAAMGGGGGATCCCAGATGCGTCTAAGATAAGCAAAGGGCTAKATTCATTCTGGAAGATCATGTGACMATGGGYAACCAGAGAGTTGAAAATGARCATACTCTGGAATTTAATAATTCTACTTTTGGGCATTTGTCCTAGTAAAAACTTAGGGTACACATGGAGATTATATGCAGAGATAGTCATCACATTGTTGATTTGTAATTTGAATTCTGGGGAAAATAAATTATGGCAATGCTTTAGAACACATACTCTATAGCCCTTACAAAACATTTTTAAAAGAACAAAAACATAGGAAAATACTCACAATAGTGAAAAACAAACTGTATACACACCCATACGTATTATATAATCCTGATTTTGTCCTTTAATATATTTAGTATTTCTTAGTAAACACACATGTACAGAAAACTAAAAGAAAATATATCACTTGAAGTTCATTATATTTTATTGTTTATATTCTTTGTCTTATTAGATTTTTCTACACACACACACACACACATGTCCTTTAATATATTTAGTATTTCTTAGTAAACACACATGTACAGAAAACTAAAAGAAAATATATCACTTGAAGTTCATTATATTTTATTGTTTATATTCTTTGTCTTATTAGATTTTTCTACACACACACACACACACACACACACAGACACACACACACACTACATTGCACTGACCTAAAATTTTAAGTAAATTTTGCTGATATAAACTTTTCAGTAATTTTTTCAGTAAATGAGAAAGTGTAACAGCATTGGATTGGGGAACATGTTTAATTTCTCATAATACTATAATAACAATAATTGTCCTTTTTTCCTCTACTCCTCCTTCTCTCCCTCCCACTCCCCCCTGCTTCTCTCCCTCCCTTCTACTTCTTCCTATTCCTTCTTATTCTTTTTTAGAAAAAAWTTTTYAAGCCAGACAGATTTAAGAGATTCTGTGCATTATCACATGGAATCTTCACAGCAAACAGGCATGAATATACTATTGGAACTTCCATCTGTAAGGCCTGGAAACTTGAGGTTTAAAGAAATTAAATAACATATTCGTGATCCCACTGTTAAGAGACAGGACTTAACCCATGCTGGACCTGCTGCTAAACTCACCACTGACTCCAAGGTACTTTCCTGATCTTTCTGACTTGTCAATGAGGTTTCTACCTGTTTTCACAGCATAATATTCCCATTTACATAGTCATTCTACTCATTCCTCCCAAACACACTAAGAACCCATCTTAGCCTCCTATTCTAGCACCCTGGCACACTACCACCATCTGTGTATGTATTTGTCTCCCAAGGTCAGTACAAGATTCTTCCATGTTTCCTAAACCTCTCAAGATTTCTAAACCTGGAGACTTTTTTTTTTTTTTTTTTGGTATTAGAGATTGAATCTAGGGATACTCTATGACTAAGCTATATTCCCAGAGCATTTATTTTTTATTTTGAGACAGGGTCTCACTTAGGTATCCAGGCTGGCCTCAACTTGCAATCTTCCTTCCTTAACCTTAAAGTCTTTCACAAAGTACACAATCCATAAAACAAAGAGCAGCTTTTGGTATGGTAAGGTAATGAATAAGGACATAATGCTTGCAATGGTGAGGCAAACCAATTTGGGTTGTAAACACCATTAGAAACTGTTTCCTCCCATGAAACCGTGACTATTTACTCTTACAGCGGACCCTGTACTGTGAAAACAGTACAATCCTGGTATAATGATTAAGTGGCAAGAACCCTAATGAACAATTGTGCTTTGGATCCAGCAGGCCCTCTTTGTAAAGCTGATTTCAAGGCTGTAGAAGATCCAGTTGGCAGGAAGCTCTCTACAGCCATTGCAGTGATCTTCTTTTCAAAAGATACAACATCTTTCTGCACTTATTCTACCCCCACATGGAGACAGAATAAGTAGATTTCTTCAGTGTTCTGAAATTCACCCACCATGAATATAACCAACATTTAAGCCAATCTGTTTTAAATTTTTCTTTTCYGAACTTTTTCTTCCCAACTTTTCATTCCATCTAATAAGTAATAATTTCTTTGTCAATAAGGAATAACAGTTGAATCTTATTGAAGTATGTAGAACATGATCTGAAGTCTTTCATAACCAGTCAGTACACTCTGCAACCAGTTCATCTTCTATACTTTGACAATCATCGGAATGAATTTGGCATTAAGAAATTCTTGGTTTTACTATATTTCCAATGCCTCTCCTACCTGCCCCTGCCATCCAAATACTAACATCCTCTATTTCCTGCTTTCATTAAGCTTTTTCAAGTTATATGATACCACAATAATCTTCCCATTTAAAATTGTTTAAGCTACCAAATTTTAATAATTCACAATTTTTTAACCTTAATGGCCTCTTTTAACAACAACAACAACAAAACCTCTGATTATATATTTACTCATTATTTCCTTTATTAGTCATTTCAACATGGTGTTTGGCAGTAAAGGTACCATTTCTTTAACCCTAGAAATTCTTAGCACAATATTAGCCTTGTTTAAAGTAGGCTTTAAAAGGATAGCAGAGCAAGAAGTGTTTTGATAATGAAAAAATCTAGAACAATTTAATAAGCTTAGTGARTGGACCAAAACAAACTAAAATAGTCTTTTTACTTTTTATTTATATATCATATTAATCCTGAATTAAGGTATTTGATTAAAAATAACAAATAATAATAATAAAGTAATGAAGTCTTTCAAATTTCTCCATTGCCTCTTCTTCCTGAGTTTTAAATGAAGCTTTGTAYGGCACCAACCTAGRTGTCCTTCAACAGATGAATGGATAAAGAAAATGTGGTATATACACAAAATGGAATATTACTTAGCCATAAAGAGAAAGGAAATTATGGAACTAGAGACTATCATGCTAAGTCAAGTAAGCCAATCCCCCAAAGCCAAAGGCTGAAAGTTCTCTCTGATATGTGGATGCTGACACAAAACAAGRGCAGGGATAGGGAGAACAGAAGTTCATTGCATTAGACAAARGGGAATGAAGCGAAGGGAGGGGAGACAGGTATGGGAAAGACAGTAGAATGAATCAGACATAATTTTCCTACGTTCACATATGAATACATTACCAGTSTAACTCCACATCATGTACAACTACAGAATGGGAAGTTATACTCCATGTATGTATAATATATTAAAATACACTCTACTGTCATGTATAACTAAAATGAACAAATAAAATTTTTTAAGAAATGAAACTTGGTCTTTATTCCTCCTCAGTTTTCAGTATTCACTCCATCCTGGGAGTATCTCTACTTCCAGGCACCTTCTATTTGTTACCAAACTTCTCTGATCTTTATTTCCTTTGAGCTTTAAATATTCATTCGGTTGCCTTCTGAACATCTTCATTTGGATGTCCCTCTACTGCAAATAAGCAACTCTCTTCAACTTATTCCCCAGAGTGTTCTCATTAATGTAAATGGATCCATCATTATCTACTTGCTGGAGTAAGATAGAAACCAGAAACTCATCATCTGTACCACCYGCCTCACCCACCTTACACCAAGTCACACCAAGTCTATCTCCTAAGTGAATCTCAAATGTATCTGTTTCTATCCATGATGTTGCCACTACCCTAGTATCCAAGTCACTACTGTATCCCTTCTGGAATGTTGCAAAAGCTATTCATTTTCTCCCCACTTTCCCTCTATACAATAAAAATGATCTATAAATACACACAAATCTGGTCCTTCATTTTCCTGATTATAACACCTCAATACTTCCTAYTGAATTTTTTGTGGCCTGAAAACACCTGCATGATTTGGTGCTGCCTTCTCTGAATTTCCTCTTAGCTCTCTCCTCTGGTTCCCAATTCTCAAGACATTGGTGGGATATTATACTTACAGAGGATTTCAAACTGTACCTGGCACAGAGTAGCACGTGATAAAGGTTAGCTGCTGTTATTTTTATTGTTTTCATTATTTATGGAGTCATCTAACCACCAGCTTGTCTGTGCATTTGTTCATTATGTGTTCCTCTGGTATCCTCAGCTTCTTCCTCAATTGGGTCATCTTCAAATTATGTTTCCTTTTTGTTACTCAGAGGAGACCCCACTAGCCAGTCCMAATTCTCACCCCACTCTGGACCAGAACTCTTCATAGACTTCTCAGGGCATYCAGATCTCTTCTTTTGCAATGCTTTTCAGAATTAAAACTTACTTGGGTGCTAAACTAGAGCACTGAATGGGGGTGGGAAGAAGGAACTGATACCTAACCTAAGYCAGCTATATTATAGAGGGCAGATAAATACAGATAGAACATCCCCTCTCGAATTAATCATATCAAACATGGATAACAATTAAACTAGAAAAAAAGAAATACTGAATATGTTTTAGTTCCTTACTGAGTCRTTTACCCTTAGAGTAAACTGAATTAGGGTAACATTCTGTGATATAGTCTAGAGTGGTACTGCAATACAGAAGAGGCTCACAGTCTTGGTGAGTTCTGAATAGACTCACTGCTTTATGATACTTTGTATTAGGAAGGAAGGAAAAAAAATTCTCTGATAAATAGCAAAGGCATGCAGCCAGAATACATATGCCTGCATTCCAATTGAGGACAATTCTTAAATGAGTTTCCATGCGATAGGGAAATGCCATCATACTCATGGGATTYTTTTGCAGCTTTGACTATGTCCAAGACCATAAATGCTTTGGTGGAGTTCATGACAGAAAATGACTTATTTTTTGCTGAAAGCGGTATTTAAGGACTATATTTGTATGGAGAATCATAGCAGAATGTTCTAACTAATGAAGAAACTAATATTAGAGTTTCTTCCAATGATAAATAGGGGCCCAGGAGGATGATGAATGTGCCCAAGGCAATAATATTGTCTAATTATAAGGAACTTATGAATGCAACCATGTATGAGTAGACAGCTGGATATACCACAGAGAACTTGCAAGTGACTTAGCTAGAGTTGGGCCACATTAGCACACYGAATTGGCTCATGCAGTATCTAACCCTGATGCTTTCATTTTATGAAATAAAAGAGTGACACTGAAGTCTTCAGTGTTTATTAAAAGATCAAGATGTGGTTAATTAGTCAGTTGTCCTTTCTAGAATTTAAATTGTTTTGTAGTTAAAAAAGCAGAGATCTTTTTAGACTTTCATTTATTTTGGAACTGCTCATGTATTTATCAGATATATTTATGTACAGTAGAAATGAGAGGATACTTAAAAAAAATTTGTTGGGTAGGGTTAGATGGTTTTCCATTTGTTTTAAAAATAAAAACTTACTTTGCCACTGACGGGCCCCTCGTCATGTCCTGCAGAATCAGGCTCTTCCACATATATGGTATAAAAATTGGGTCTACGGGTAAAAATTGAAACAGAAAGACATTAAAAATTTGGAATAAACCTGCAGCAAAATCTGGGGTTTTGTAGATCTTGAAAATGCTGGCCACTCTTTTTCTCTCTGGCCTTCTCCTTATTCAGGCCCATGGTGGCACTTGGTCCCAACTGGAATTTGTTTCCTAACAGGAAGTAAATAAGACCTGCCAGGATACAAGCATTGGTCTGCCTCAGCTGTGAAAATCTGTCTTGTTCTTACAGTTAGGACGTCTCTGGTATGCCCAAGCCCTTTATTCTTCCTGGTTTCTGACTTTTTGCTGGCTTTCTCTTCTACTACACCAAGCCCTTTTTTGGATGTCTGGTTTCTGGTGTGCTGTTTACTTCCAATTCCCTTTCAGAAGACTCTGACTCCAGCCTGTTATCAGGCTGTTCAAGCACCTGATTCCTGGGGTCTGTCCTCAGAGGTGAGTGTCAGATCCAGTTTCAGCTCTGCCCCACATCTTCCCACATCTTTCCACATCTCCCACGTCTTCCTTTGTGATATTTGCCTCTTCTCTCTTGCACTGGCTCTATTTCTGCATTAATAGTCATTGTCAACCATGTCTTCAAGAGCACCAGACCTCAGAAGTAACTCTTGAAAAATGCCCATTAAAAGGCAATAGCAAGTATTTTCAAAAATGGTCAGTAAGGATAAAGAAAGAATTCCATTTTGTGGTGAGCTGTTTCTGTGTACTGTGGCCGCCATTACAAGATGGCGCTGGTTTCCGCTGTAGTCTGTGACAAACAACTCCTTATCAGAATGAGTTGGCA